GCAGCTCTGCTCGTCTCGCAAGTGAAAGATGAAATATTGCTTTTACGTTTTCATTCATTCATTTTGACTTTTAAAGACACTTTACAACACCTTACTTGTTGAGCTTGATTCTTTCATCTGAATGTGAGACATGAGACAGGCTCAGAACCATGACTGTTTTATTCTTTCACTTAAACTGTGAACATTTTTTGGAAATTTTAAGCGAAATTACAAAACCTGAGTTGAAATGTCCTTCAGAAAATGTGTTGACGAATCCTAAAAGATTTTATTGTACAGAAACCAAAAGGATGATCGGCTTATGGATCCTAATGGTGTAACTTATCCTGCAAGTTTAACCTGTGAGATGCAAAACATTCAAAAGGTTTGACATTTTCTCTTCAGCTTATTTGCTACCCGGTGCAGTACCGTCAGAGGCCACCAGGGGGCCTCAGCCGCACACTTAGGATATTCAGTGCATACTCGTCACACCAGGCATGAAAGGTTGTTAAAGAGAGGCTGAGAGCGCCTCTGGCAGATGTCTGACGTAAAAAGCTTAATGAAAACTGTTTTTACACAGTCTTCAACTTCAGTTTGAATTTGGTTAAAAGTGGAGGGTCGTCTCTGTCCTCGACACCTGAGGTCCGCACACCTCATTAGGAAACGATCAATTTGATGTTCAGAGAAGCACCACGTGACAAAAACCACGTGATTGACATTTAGACAAGTATAAAGACTTTTTCGGTCACGTTTAAAAAACGATGAGCGCCTGTGTGGCTGTTTGATCACAACTATTTTACAAACATAAAAAAACGGATAGAGTGAAATCAAATGAGAAAAACACCATCACTATGACGTCATTAACAGCGCATTAACACATGGGGGGTAATGTGTTTGACAAACGCAGGAAAGATGCAGATTTCATGGCGGCAGCTTCAAAACAATCAAAGCAGGATTTGTTAATTATAAAAATATTTTTTTTGTAAAGTTTGCTAAACTGTCAGGATGCGAGCAGAGCTTCGTGCTGACCAGCGCTGAACACACACCCATCGTTTACCCTTAAACATGTCGCTGGTTCCTCCACCTTCAGCTGCGTCCTTGTGGTGGAGACAGGCGTTCAAAGCCGCTGCTCTCTGACGTCACGCCCAGGAGGAAAGTTTGGGTTGCCGTTTGTTGGGGGGCGGGGCCTGTGCGGAGGAGGGGAGCGGTGATGCTGAGGAGGAGTAACCGAGGAAGAGCAACAGGTTTCAGTGTGCTGATGGGTTCACGAGGACAGAGCACGAGCGTATGAAGAGGACGGAACACAGGTTCGTGTGGATGTTGTCTCTGAAAAGAGGCAGCTTTAAAAAAAACTGTTTTTATTTCAAATGTAAAAGTTGGTCATCAGAGTGACCCCGAGGTGGGAAGTAACGAAGTAGAATTACCAGGTATCTCTACTTAACTTGTTACTTTTTACTTTTACTCCCCACATTGTTAAACAAATATCTACTTTTACTCTTTACGTTTTAAAACAGACCCGTTAC